TTCCCAACCCCAACGCATTTATAGGGGGTAGGCTCTACACCCCAAAAAATCCCAGAGCGGGCGTGGTGGGGTGGGGAATTCGGGGAATTGAAGTCCACCCATCTTAAAGTTGCTGAGGTTGAGGAACCCTGATGTAAAGGGCAGAATTTGTGTTGGGACATCATCATGAATGTTTCATCACTTGCCCCCTTTGGCCCACCCTAGACACCTATGCATGTGATAAGTTATTAAACAAACCATAGTAAAGAGCTCTTCTGCCTTACTCCTCAATATTGGCTGCTTCCAGAAGGACCTTTCTCATGGCTCATTATTACAGTAATTTCCTGGAGCATCTCATTAATGTTATCAGATATTAGTCAGCAGCCTATACCGTCTCCCATCACCTCATTTTTCTCTTAAATCTCCAAAGATGCAGAGGTTCTATAACACCGGGCTTCGATCATTTTTGTGCTGGGGGAGGCTTACAAATCAAATAAAATCAAATTAAAACCTTTATTATGACCTTTAGGTCAGAGACACTACAGTAAAAATGCATACACCTATAACTATTAATAAAACTGAAAGGTAGAGGTAAAATACAATAAAAAATAAAAATAATATAGTCACAATAATACAGATAACAGTGGCAATCATCAAAATTTGTGCTACACTTCAGCCACAAGTAGGCCAATACAACAGATAGCACAAAATCAGGCAAAATCAGGAAAGATCTGCCAGGGTCCTGATCAGATAGAAGAAGTGACCGATAAGTCTTGTGCTCTCTACCAGGGCAGTTCTTTAAAATGGGATAGATGTATGTCTTCTTAGATTCCGTCTAAAGAGAGCAGCAATGGAGCAGGTGGCTTAGGGACTCCATGGAGCTATGTTGAAGCCACAGAGGCATCGACATCAGCAGTGGCATTTACCATATCACCCCAGAACTGCTGAACTGTTGTGAGAATGAACCCAGGTATTTCACACATCTTGCACACACCTTTTTACTGTTTTTTAAAAGTACACTAAAATCCTGCAAGATGCCAAAACACTACACACTACTTAAAACCTAGTTAAAACCTACGCACCAGGCCAGAAACCGAGAGACCGTGAGTTCTAGTCCCACCTAAGGCACAAAGCCAGCTGGGTG